GTTTTCCTGTGCTACCTCCATCCAGCATTTTAGCTGCATTTGCAGTGCCAGGGTCCCTAGGAGGGTGAAGTTGTTTCCTGCTTCAGAGAGGAGATGGGATGTTAAAACTCTCTGAGTTCAGGCTGGGCTCAGGCTGCCCTTAGGGTTCTGCAGGGATGCCAGGGCTGTCCCACTGGAGTGATATATAGGCACCCACAGAGCACATTGGAAGGCTTCTTGCAACATATATGGCCTCCCCAGCTGAGATAATGCGGTTGGAGGAGTTGCACCTTTTGCCTCATATCAAGACAAGATGATGTGTCACCAGTACAATTTCTACTGGTGGTAACTACTACTGTTGCAAGGACTTGGTAAACTGCAAACTCTGTGCTTTTGGCTGCCCCAACAATTTCAGCTGCTTGGCCTAGCTGTGGAGAACACGAGGGAGTAATCTCTGTGTTCCCCAGACAACTGGCAGTGTGGAGATTTACAAAAGTGCATTGGCCTTCAGCAGCAGCTGCAAAGAGATGGGGATCACCCAAGTGGTAGAGCAAGGGTACCGCACATGGTCTCACTCTCAAGCATGCCAGTTGCATGGTGGAGAATCCCTTAATGTCATATATTACTGAAGGAATGTAAATAGATCTGGGAAAGTCAAAATGCAGGGGAACCTAAGCTGCACTCAACATCCCTCCGTTCCAAATTCAGCGCTGCAGTGAAGGCTGGGGCTCTGTTAGGAAGTGAGTAGAAAGGGTTTCACACTTGCCCTGTCTAGATACATGCATAGGGTGAGAACAGACCTTGTGCAAGACAAAATTTCCCCACCCTGGATTAAGAAGTAATATCTCACATTACATCTAGATTTTCTCCCTCTGCTTTCTACTTTGATTTTTATTTTCTTTCCTGCTGTTCTTGAAGATCTGGATGTCTGTGAATTAATATTCCAGTGAGTCTGGGGAGCTGTAAATGTTGGCTCATTAGTTCACAGGTTGTGCTCTAAGAATAACGAAGTTTTATCAGTGTCAGGCAATGCGACTTTTACCATTCTGGGGATGGGGAAGTCATATCTATCTGCTCTGGTACATTTTCTGTGCCATGTTGAACAGCTACAAAGGCACACTTTTTTACTGGAATCATGATACTAGATTATGATTAAAACTGAAACACATCAGGAATCATCAGATTTTGTTGCATAAATATTAAATAAGATTTTTTTAAAAGTAACCAAACCAGTCACATCTTAAGTGCTTAAAATGGGACATGTGATTTCAAAGTGGTGAATGTTGACTAAAAAAAGAAAGGGGAAAACATTTTTACACTGAAAAGTGGATTGTGTACCATCTCTAACATTAATTTTCAATTTTAAATGCAAAGCAGATTAATATTTATTTATGAGTGGGGTCTGCTGTATCATGCAAATTCTTTGTGCAATATTGAGATAATTATTGTAGTTCAGTATTTTCCATTCTGTCACACATTCATTCTTTACATTTCTTGGGATTTTTTTTTACCAGTACATAAGTGAAGACTTCTGAGCTGCACACCACAGGGGACATACAATTCCGAAAGGGGCAGAGATGGAAAAAGTGGAGTTTCAACCTTTACAGATGAGAATGTTTGTCCATTTAACAATAATAAAAAACCTACCCAACTCAAAAAATATTTTCAGAAAATTGAAGTCCCAACAATAGCTTGCAGGAGCTATGGGGCTGCAAAGAATTATTCTGTGACCAGCAACAAAAGTAACGGTCCAAGAATCAAGCTACCACTTGGTAACTGCATACACACAAAGGGCTAGTGCAAGGTTTCTTTGATCCGGTTCTTTACAATAAAAGAAATTGTTGTTTAATGGTAAAAAACTATGAACTCAAATAAAACAGAGAAAAGGGTAAAAGAGAAGAAGGATGGAAAAAGAAAGGCTAGGGAATTTAGGGAAGCTCACTGTCTCTTCCAGTAAAAGGATGTCCGGACAAATAAGGATGACATTTCTGCTGTCCCACTTATCCTTTTACATTTCTCCCCTCCCTTTGCACAGTAAACATGTGTAAATACCTGAAGAGCAGTGCCCTAACTTTGGTGTCTGTTCCCTTCTCATGCTGGGGAAGGCTCTGGATGAGGCTGTACTGTACCTGCTCCCAGCAATTAAAATAGCATTGCCTTGAACGGAATGTGTTAGCTTAAAACATGAGAAAGTGTGAATGGAAGAAAGGAGTCACTTTTCTCTTTCTTGGCTTCTTCACGGTTGCCCCCTTCTTCTTCTCTGTCCTCAGTGGCATGAAAGACTCACCCAGCCTCAGTGACCTCCACTGACAGTCTGCAGGCTGCAGTGGTTTCCCACTGCTGGGGAGTTTTTCAAACCAGTGGCCCTCCAGACATACAGTCCTACTTCAAGAAGCTGCGTAATGCTCACTGTCAAAACCTCTAGAAGCAGAGCCAACCCTGGAGCCCCAGTGTTTGCTGGGACTGTACTGTGTCATGTGAATCATTGGAGTGGGCTTGCTGGCCAGCAGCTTCTGCTGTTGTTTCTAGAGAGAGCTGTAAGATATCAGAGCTTCAGAGAGAATCAGCGCTGCTCTGGCCTGAGCCTTAAGGTCAAACCTGCAGCAAACTGCTACAAATTCACCCACAGAAGACAGGGCATTTCTGGTTTCCCATGTGAACCCAGCCTTCACACGAGTCCACGCTGGTCCTGCCATGGTGCTGTGAGCCCAGAAAGCTTGTGGTTTTGTAAGTATAGGCATCTCTGTGGGAACTGCTAGAAAATTTTGTGCTTGTGTGTCCGGGTCTTCCTACAAATATGTCTCTTAAGAAGATGGTAGAAAAGACCTATCCAGAACTATTTCTAGTCCACTAAACCAAAGGTGAGAATGTATTTTCCTCTTCCTTATTGTATCCCATCTCTCAGTAGATTTTTCCATTACAGTCTTCCAGTAGATCTCCTTTCTCTTACTGTGGCCTTTCCAGTAGGATCCCTTACAGTTTATCACCTAGAAAGTGTCCTTCCTTCCACAAATCTCAGCTTGCTCTTTTCCTTTGCTACAATTCACCTGAACTCTACTTATTAATGTAAAATAAAAAAGATGTAACTCTCATTGCATAGTCACAGGAAGGCCTGTAAATTCTATAAAAAAGACAAAGTTGGAAAAAGGATGGGAAACAAAGAAAAGAATTGAAATAAGTCACTTTAAAGGTTTGTGAAAGTGTGAAAATATTTACTTTGGTTGTCCAATATTTGTCATTCATTTAATCAATTAATTTACTTCTCACAGCCAAAACACTGCCATTAAAAAGGCTTACTCAGATGCTTTACCGTGTTCATATTGATTCATTTTCAGTGAAAATATCAATATCTTTGTATAGATCTAGACCTTAAAGTTACTTAATTATTGATTGAGAAACAGTTGCTCAGACTGAGGAGGCAGATTTCTGCTGTGTTCAACAATAATAAGAAACCAAGCTTTTGCATGAACAGACATTGTGTAGGACCATCCTTATTCAGTGTATTAGTTGTCAGAGGGGAGCAGAAGTCTACCAAAATGACTTTTCTGTGACCTAGTGTTGTCAACGCTTCCCATTTCATTCATCAACTATTGAAAACTAAATTAGAGAACTATGTACCCTTTTCAGTAATTGTTTCTTACTGTCACTGTGAAGACAGAATGAACTTTCACGGTGAAAACGGTAATAGTAAATAAAACATTCAAATAATGTTGCTTTTCTGGCAGCTTCTGAGCATAGTTTTGAAGCATGAGGACTGTTATATGTTGAGATATAATTGATTTAAACATTTGGTGGTTTTGGTGGCCTGTGGTTTCTGCTGAAACAACTGGTGGTGAAACAACGTTGGAATTTCATCTCAGATTCTATAGCTAATTTATTGGTTTGTAAGAAAACAGCGTTTTGAAATTTTTCAGAGAAAAAAAAAAGGAAAAAGAAAAAAGTTTTCTAATTACAATGATTGTAAGTGAGGAGCACAAAGCTGGACCCTTAGATTTCCTTGGGGTAAAAGGAAAACCTGCTGCTGTGAATGCAAATGAGGTAGTTCTGTGGAGATCCTGAAAAAAGGTATAGCAGAATAACTAGATATAACCTAAGTCACCCAGTGCCTCTGTAGAGTCTTTAAATCTTAGACTCTTGCACTTCACAGCCATGGGCTAAATGATGAGTTGCAGACACTGTGACAGCCAAAGCTGGCTCAAGGCTCCTCATCAAGGCTAGCAAACTTGAATATTGTCACCCCAAGAATGAGGGCTTGGGGAAAGGTGGAAGCCCAGTCCTGCATTCCATAGGAAGTGGAGGAAGCCAAAGGAGCAGAGTTGGGCTCTTCCCTCCAGAAGTATCTCCAATACAATACAGCATTTTTCTCTAGTGTCAGCGGCAGCACAATCCTGTATATCCAAGTGTCTGCTGTAGGGTAATCCAGGTACTGGCAAGGGTCAGTTTTAATGTGTGACCCTGGGTTTGCCAGTGTGGTGCCACAGGTAGTTGCCGTTTCTGTCCATGCCAGGATGCGACCTTCTGGCCAAAGCCTAGAAATACAGAAGCAATCATCCTACATCAGCCATGTGTTGACTCTGACCTGGGGCAAGAGCAAATGTTTCAAAGGAGGTAAGAGATCATAGCATGAAAAACACAAAAGAGTCTGCTCAATAGAAATCTGCAATTTGCAAGTACTAAGATATAGAATGGCTTGTGTTGGTAGGGACATTAAAGATCATCTAGTTCCAAATCCCCCCAACACAAGCAGGGATGCCACCTAATGGATCAGGTTGCTCAGGAGCCCATCAGTTGTCAGTTGTGGAATGATTTCAATGTGAAAAAAACTATCTGGTTGTTTTGTTTGTTTGTTAGTTTGTTTTATTTTTTGTTTTAGTTTTCCAAATAGTTTGTAAAAGACCACAGTTGAAGGACTCAAAATGCACAAATACGCTTATTGGTAACGATGCCTCATTTACTAAATGCTGCATCTGACATTAACCAGACGTCTGTCTGTCTGTCTGTTTGTCTGTCTGTCTGTCAAGGTATTATTTTCAGTAATTCTCTAGGTGAGATAGACCAGTTTGAAAATGCTGACAGCTCTACAAGACTTTACTGCATCCAGGACAAACAGCAATGGAACGTTGGTCTGGAAGAATGCAGGGAGTTGAATTGGAAGTCAGCTGTTTTGGTGTTGACAATGTCAAGGTTAGTCTGTCTATCCTGGCCAACTGAGTCAATGGGATAACCCAGTTGTTGGTAACTAAAGGCTGTATCAGCCTCATATGTTTTAGGTCCTCAATTCTGGGGTAATAAACTGGGTAATAAATGGAAGGCCTTTGATCTCACATGTAAATGAGAGTTGTCCAGTGTACAGCTGGGTCAGATGAAATTGTGAGCTGATGTTCAGAAGGAAAAAACAGCCCTATTAGGATGGCTTTTCCCTGGATGAATTTAGATAAGAAAAATATAGTTTAATAACATTTAAAATAATTTTTTTGTCCTGCAGCATATATAACTACTACAAACGATAGCATATCAAAAATAGAAAAATATGAGAATAGAATAGATTTATTCTGCTTTTGCATATTCTACATCTCTTACAAAAAACGAAACCTTTAAAATGGAAAGTTGCAGAGTTCTGAGCCTCATTGTGTCCACGGGACCTGATCTTGCATGAAATCATGCTGTTTACTGTTCAATTGTTAGGACACTAATAAAGAATAAATGCCACTATGATAAAGTAAAAGTGTCTGTGTAAAACTGGCCTGTGATCAGAGTCAGGACAGGTTACTCTATGCTGCAAATCAGCCAAGAAGATGGTAGATCAACTCTTTTCCCATATAAGGAATGATAATTGTACTACATTAAGAAAGATTCCTTAAGACATACCCAGTATGTATCAGCCTACTTATAGTATAGTTTTAGAGCAAATCTTCCATTAAAAATGCCAGAATGAGAAACAGAGATTAAATTTATGCTTTAATTTGTTTTGGTTTTGTAATGTTGATTTTTTATTGATTTTAATTACAGGTCATTGAATTCTGTGTTGCAAATCGCTTACTCTGTATGTGTGAAGGGTGCAAAACATTCTTTTAGAAAGATCATACTCTTTTTTGAAAGATCATCCACTTTTACCTGCATGTGCCTCCTTTCCCCATGGCGTTCATATGCAGAGTGATGTGGCACTCTGGTTACCCTTTGTTAAGCAAAAACATTATAAATATGACCTGTACGTTGGCATTTACATGAGTTTGGGGCAAATATCATTGGCAGGGCACACGTCAGAGTTTCTTTTTAATCATGCCAGGGAGTAACACTCATTTTAATGAAGACTGTGCACTTTATTTTACCCTATACCATGCATCAAAGAGGAAGCTTCCATGAGCATGTTGAGCACAGGAAGTAATTGGGTTTACATCAGTATGTGGAAACTGCCTCAGCAAAATTTTCTTAGTCATGATGACTTCTTCTTGCTATTGCTGGTGTCTCTGGAGAGTATGTAATTTTTTATCTTTGCATGCAAAGATCAGAAAAACTGATTGGAGACTTTAAAAAAGGAACTAACCTCTAATGCCTATATTCAATGAATTCTCAGTTATTCAGAGCTGGGAGGTAGATTCAGAGCACAAAGACAACTTCCTGCACGGGCTCATTTTTTCCATAATGCTCTAGGAGCAGCAGAACAGAGATGAATGGAAAGTGTAAATTGACTCACATTTTTCAACACTGACCAGTGTGATAGAGATGGTCTGTTTCTGAAAGGAAATTTTCTTCATCATTATCTGAAAAATCAGTTCAGCTTCTCCTTGTTGTGTAACATCTGTGTACTTTGTTACCGTGCCTTGGTTACCTGAAAAATAATTTGTTAGGGAAAATCTATGCAGGGAACAATCAATTCAATTTATTTATTTTTGCTTGGTCTTTATTTTGAAAATTCACAGACATTATTAATTTCCCATGTGGTTCTTTTCCTTTCACTGTCAGTATGTTGGTGACCCTGTGTCTTTGTTGGCTCTGCTCAACAGGTGAAGCAGCAGTGTCCATGTCCAGACATTCTTTCAATAGTGATCCAGAAGTAAGAAGGCTCTGCACAAGCCACTGTACTCTCCTAAAATCCTTCAGCAAGTTTTAAAAAAATCACAGGTGTCTAAACACAGATTTCACATATGGTGAAATGGCTGTGTTCCATGTATCTGGAAGGCAGTGGCCGTTTGCAAGCAGGATATTCTTATAGGGCCTGATTTCCAGATAACCTCTGCGTGGAAAACGTGAGTCTATTGAACACCTAAGTTTTATGTGACTTAGAATGGTTATCTGTGTCTATAGGTACTTTATTTTGCACCTGATAGTGTTCTAAGGCCGTGTATAAATTACGAGCAAAGTTATGCATCTATACATAAGCCTTTAACATGGCTGCTATTCATTGCTATGATGAACATGTTTCAACTACTGTGATGATTTTTGCCTCAGATATCCATGTTATTGTTTTGGATATTTTAAAGCTCACTATTAAATCTTAAGGACCGAATAACTGAACTGAGTAAAACAGCACAGCTCTCTGACTTCAGCAGAGAGAGCCTGATTTACACCAGCTGAGAATCTGATTGTCGCTTTTGAGCTGTCGTAATTGCTTAAGTGAAACAGACAAAGTAATTGGTGCAAACTAATAGAACTGATGGAAAAAGATTCAGTGTTTGTCAATACCAACTATGCTATGGAGAACCTGATCAATGAATTAGTCTATCAATTAATTAGCCTAGGCAGAAAATGACTCCCTGTTCCGTTAGTCCATGAAAAGATCAATAAAGTCAAATGTCTAGTTTAGTGTTTCTCACGTAATGATTATATTATGAGAAGAAGAAGAAAAACAATGTTTATACTGTTTCAATTACAGTTTTCAAGTGTTCAATTAACAAAAAGATACTCAGATAGTCCTGTTAGAAAGATTAAAAGCAGAAACTTTAGGATTTTAATGCTGTAAAGTTACTTGTCGTCCTGTCTATTTAAACTGCATCTTCAAGGGACTGATATTTCTATAAAGAAATGATTCTCTGGTATAAGGATTCACATATGCTGAGCAACCATTTTGTCAGTTCCTCTACGTGGGAAATTGTGGCAAGAACATCAGGCTTTTAGGGCAAATCCTTCATTTTGGCAGGGGCTAGACTGAGCCACCTCTCTGGGATGACTTTGGCAGTTCACAGCTGTTGTTGTGTCATCATCAGAAACATACTGGGCAGAAAACTGAGAACTCAACCTTTTTCTGTTTTAATTGGCTGCAGTCTTATTATTTCTGCTAAGTGTGGCCTGGTCACTCACACTTTGAATTTTGCATATTCATAATTGACTTTACAGCAAAAATAAGCAAATACATCTTCTGTTACAATCTGCTAAAGTCCCTAATTATAAAGCCTTTAATGTCTGGCTGTTTGCCCTGTAGTATGAAAGAGAGGCAAGCGTTCTTGCTTTCATGCACACACATTTGGTGGTTACAAACTTTAAAAGTATGCTTTGCACTACAGAGTTTTAGATATCATTTGTATAAAATGTGAGAAGGGAAAATCATGTGAAAACCGAAGTAGCTAGCTATTAGTCAGGCTTGGAAGCTGATGAAAGGAGATTTTGTGAAGGGAGACAAAAAAAAAGTCCAGATTACCTGAAAATAAGATTTTACTGAAAGGAAAAATTTGTTGCAGTAATGCTGTGATAATCTGCTGTGATGAATAATAAACGTACGGCAAATATCAAAATAAGGCTACCTACAGTCAGTGAATAATTACAGCTTTGAGATCATCTAGGCTTTGGTGAACATGTAGATTACTCTTAATGTCAGTCATAACCTTTTACCTTTTTCAGTCTGTTTACAGACTACAATACTGTCTTTAAAAGCTTAGTCTTTTGCAGAAAAATTATGTGTTACTTCATGTTTCATATTCCAGTAGCAGTTTTTCTATTAAAAACAGATTCAATTTTAAGTAACTAGTGATGATATGTTCAATGTGAGTTAGCTGGATGAAAAACTGTTGGCAGTCCTCCTGTTTTGCAGGGATTAGCTGAACTAGTCAGAATAAAATTTAAATGTGCCTACTTTTCTCAGTTTCAGCATATTCTACCTAAAATTTGCACTTGGTACATGCTCAAAGATATAAAAAATAAGATAATGTCTCACTTTGATGTAGGGAATGGTAACTTCCAAGCTGTTGCACAGGGAATCATAGGAGATACATATCCACCCCACTTTGTGTCCTCCTGAATGCCTAGTTTTGAAGCAGAGGATCCCATGCATCTCACCACTGTGTGAATATGGTGGTTGTGTTACCTCTTTGCAGGAGGTGTTTGAGGCCTGCAGAACAGCAGATGAAAAATTGGTGACAGAGGGAGTAAATGTATTTAACCTGTTTTCATATGGACAACTATTCTGGGACAAAGGAGATAAACACAGACTGTCACACTGACAGTCCTTTCTTCCAAAATTCACAGCGTGATGCCAATGTCATATTCCTAAAATACAACCTTGCCTCAAGGATTGACTGAGTCAGAATAAGGCAGTAAACTTCTACTTACCTGGCACACTTCCCAGATGAATGTCCCGAAAAGGGCTTTTCTCAATCCAAACTCAACAGAGCATGGGCATCTGTTTCCTGACAGTGAATATCTGTAGGTTAGGAAAAATCCTTTATGGATTTACGTAGCCTCAATATCCCTAAACAGTTCCTATAAGAATATATTAAGGCTGAAACTTTCTTTGGAGCGTGCAGGAATTGCACAACATTGTCAGCAGGACATTTTTAATGAAGATGTGGCAGATGTGCAGGTCTAGGGATCAGTCTCTTATAATGGTCCTCTATGAGAGTAACCCATATTCATCACTGCCAAATCCTTAATTCATGATGTCACTAACCCTGATGTGGATTATCTAGGTAAAAATTGCTATTAAACCCCCTGATGAGGGCACTACATTTTCATAACAACCATTATGTTCTAATGCACCTACAGATAGATGAAGTAAAGATACAACTTCACTTACCATTTCTGCAGCTGGTCGTAGGTGACAGCAATCTTTTCACAGACACTTCTGGAGACACCAACTTGCATGTCTAAAGATAAGAGACTTTTTAAAAAAAAAAATTATCAGCAATCAAGTGAGAAATATATGTTTTTTTTCTGGGTATGAATAAGAGTAAGAATCTAACCAAATATGCCTTAAAGCCAGCCAGGAGGGCAGGAAATCTGACTGCAATCCTTGATCACCCCCAGCACATACACACATCTATTTGGCTTTTCAGAGGAAAGAGATACCCCTCATCTGTTGGTAAATAGGTACCTTGAGGACTCATGCAGCACATTAATAGAAATCTAGTTTCTTCTATTATTCGTCTTTTGCTTGACTGTGGGACTTTCTCTGCATAAAACAGCGGAGTGCTGCTTCACTGGATCTGAGCAATCATGGAGGTGGTTTTAGTAGCAGTGCAAAAAAGTTCAGCTTCTTCAGGCTTTTGCATTTAAAGTCAGCCTTCAGGCTTTTGCATTTACAGGGTTGGTAGCTGCAGGCCAATGTATGCGATACAAACATTGCCATCAGGAAACATTGGCCCAACTCCTTACCTGGTTCAGGATGACTTGCAAGTGTCACTGTGATGAGGTTGCAGTGGAAGAGACAAGGATCCCACACTTGGTTCACCAAACATTTCCAGTCACTCTTCATATTAACATAGCACTCATGTCTCATTTATGGACAGGGACCAACTTGTGCTTGGCACTTACCATGAAACTCTGGGCCCCAAATTGCTTACACCCATCTGCCAGCACATGAAGAGGGCAAGGGGGCAAGGAAACTTGCTCAGCTCTGATGGGACAGGAGAGAGAGCCCCATAGCCTGCAGTCTTAAGCATGCCAGCTCTCTAAACATCTCTACCTCTTTTTTTCTAATAGGCAAAGTAGAGTTTCTTAAGGAGGAGTTTGAAGATCAGTGAAGTAACTTTACTGTTCTTTACAAGGAACCTTTCTGCAGCCTGAGCTACCAGCTGGTAGATACCATGAGTGAGTAATAATACCACAGATGGAGTAATTCCTTTGATTTTTTTTTTTTTTTTAGGTGGGGGGGGAAGAATACTGTATTCTTTTGCTTTAATTAATATGCTTATTCAAGCTAAATATGGGGACAAATGCCTGGTGCTATTAGCCAATCTCACGTAACATTGTTATAATAAGGAACTAGAAAAAGATAAGTATGACAAAAGCTTAGCATAGCCAGCTATGGAGTCATGTTAATTTTAGACTCCAAGATCCTTTTGAAAAATGTCTGATGGCCATGTGGTTACCCCAGGTGGCACCAAACCCCATGGAGTTTGCAGCCAGGTCCCCACCAACAGGGGATCTCAGTGCAGTAGAGTCCACCTGGAAGCTGGCAAGGAGGCAGAGCTGGCTGTTGTCTGAGTAGTGTCATGCTGCCTCTGCCTGGCTGTGACATGTCTGGCCCAGCAGGAGTAGGGGGTGAATGGTGCCTTCCAGATCCAATTGGGAGCAAAGAGGACTAGTGCACATCAGCTGATAAGGCTGGCACAGCTTTTCTTACTAATGTTGAATAAATCCCCAAAGGCTGTGGAAGCCAGTAAGCAACTAAAAGTTCTAGTGCTTGTCAGAGTAATCTTATCCCAATGATCCACGTCTGTTGGTTCAGCAAAATGAGGGCTAGAAATGTCATGAGAATAGGATCTCTCCACAGAGCCCCATAATTCTGCTTCCAGTCTCCTGGGGCAGCAGCAAGAACTTAGGTGAATAAAAATGGTAAATAGTATTCACAGGAGGAAAAATTTCTCTGTAATCACAGGAGCTTTGCATAGAGTTTCATTCTTGACTTTGAAATTGTGAAACATTTGCCTTACATTTGCCTTGGTTCTGGTTTGTATTTTTTACTGAAACATACATCAGATATTTTCCCCAGTGTAGTTCTTGCAAAAATAACAAGCTCTAAAGCTTGTCCAGTATGCTTCAGCAAACCAAGCAGTAACACTCACTGCACTGGACCATGACCATATGTACATGCAGGGCTGTCTTTTTATTTTCCATTCCCATGTTCAGACAGTGTCACAATGTCTTTGATACAAATGATTTCATTGACTTAATAGTTGATTGTGTACCACAGAAGTTTGCAATAGCCTCGGAGGTCATGTTTAATGACACTGTTTTGCAGAGCCCAGCCAGTGCCTTCAACATGCACAGCTCAGCTCTCCATGTGCTTTGAGCTGTACCATAATCCTCTTCATGCCCTAGATTGCCCATAGCCTTCTAAGTAGGAGAAGCTTCATGCGGGAGTGTCCTCACATCCCCACTGGAGACATGGGATCTTTCAGGCAGGACAGTGGGTACCTTTGCATTGCTTTGTGCCACTGGAGTTGGTAGAGATTTTACATACCACATTTCAACTTTTTTTTTTCTGCTCCCACTGCCCAGATAATTCAAGCAGGATCTAACAGCTGACGCAGAAGCAATCCTCATGGCCTATCTAGATAGACAAAAAGGTGAACCTGTTTTGTCCAGGGGCCTACATTTTCTAAATATAATATCTAATCTACTAAATCAGCTTCTTGGGTAGCCTATTGCTGTAGGAAAAAATAGGTGATTTAATTGCTGATTTTTCATGCATTTCCTGCATTGAACTCTGTCTAGAACTTGACAGTACTCATTCGGGAGACCTGGAAAGGAAATTTCTGTAAGGTGGAGACATTTGCTTATAACTGGTATAAAAATAATCTGGTTAAAACTGTGTTTAGTGTCTCATGCAAAAGAGTCTTGAAGAGTCAATTAGACATGCACAAACTAACGAACTGCAAAAAAAGGCTTTCCCTCCATTAAATGCCTCTCCGTAATCATCAATATTCTTAAAAAGTGTAATGATTTCTTATCAGTGCTTGAATGAACCGTAAAACTACCTTTTGAAATATTGATATTTCCACAATTTTGAACACAAGAATGTTTTCCCTTCTATATAGAAGCTGACGGGCCATTGACTTGCAGTATATTTTATTCCTGCTGAAGAACATACTGTATAATGCAAATAAGTACTCAGCCTGCATTTTTCTTCTAACAGGTCTATGAGGCTCCTTTGTTTCACATGCTTTAGCTTTTGATTTAAGGCTTAATCAAGGCATTCTCTGCGTGGGGTGTTTTGTATGAATAAGGGAGATAGCTATCTTCATCTTTGAAACTGAAAGCAGAAACATTTCACAAATGGTTTATGCTCACATTTGTGAGGATACTTTATCAACATCAGATCTAAGGGATGATTTTCATCTGGGCAAATCATGGTAGCTCAGTTGGTGTCCGTGAGCTGCAGTGATTTACATGGCTGAATGTCTGGATCCTGCAACACTCAACATCACAAAGGAGAATACAGCCATAGATGAGAATTGTGGAACATATGTTATACTGAACTTTCTTGTTCTACAGTGGATTGTAAGCACAGTTGATCTCAGAACTAGTATCTACAGGTAAATATCTAGCTAACGAAAAGTCAATGGGACATTATTTTCTTCAGAAAATGCACTTCCATCATCTCTGAAAGAATACCAGACTGACTTCCCCAACAACCCATATCAGTCAGAAAGAGATATAGGGGTGTCAGAAACTCAATATTTGGCAGACAGATCGATATTTATGAAATACAGTATTTCCGTTTTTGCTTTTCAAATTTCTCATGTGTGTGGTTTATTTAATGCTGTTATACTCTAGATGACAAGACAATTTAAACATGTAATACATCAAAAGAAAGCATTAAGTGATTTAAGATTTCTTCTATTTCTAAAGAAAAATTTACTTTCATTTTGGAAGAAAAGTAGGTTTTGAAGACTCCAGGTCCTGTATTTCTCCCTCTCCAGTCTGCTCTGCTAATGACATCAAGTTGGCTCCCCCTGTGTTTTTTTTAAGGGGTTTTGGGGGGGTTTGTGGGGTTTTTTTTTAAGGAAGAAAGCATAAGTAACATTGACTGAAAATCCTTAATGATGGAAGCAAAGGAAATGATAGGCTGGGCGAAGAGCCATCCATCCCTGGTGTCTCATGGTGGCTGTCTGTGAGTGGCCATGCCCTAGGAGTTCCCTCTTCCGTGCTGCACACGCCTGCCCCTGTGCCGTAGTCCGTAGTCCGTGAGTCCTGGAAGATGCCGCTGCAGCTGTCTCTGGAGCCATCTTGCAAAGTGAGTAACCAAAATTTTGGATTTAAAGCTACTTCTTAATTTGTGTTCTGGCACAGACAGTGCTGCACCTCACTATAACTCTCTCAGTGCTACAGTAGAGTTTCTGCTGTTGCCACTTTTGGTGAACTTGCCCTAATATTAAAAACGTGTTTGTGGAAAAAAAGCTGGTGCAGAAACATATGTGTTTCTTATCCCAATCTGGACTGAAGAAATCTGCCAGTTGCCTAGAATACTCATATAATTGTAGACATACCTTTATCTCTAGTCTTATAACTACATGACAGGAAAATGCAAATCCTTCACTATGCTACAATTTAACAGCAGGACTCACTGAAGCCTTACAATATTTATTAGGTCTTTTATTTATTGTCAGTTGCCTCCTTTTAAATATGGCATGGACACACACCGACACCAACACTGTATTTTACTTATGTCAGTAGGTGTGGATCATTTTCCAAAACAAGTAAAAAGAGTTTTAAAAGGTGTCTGTCATCTGTGAAGCTTTTTATTAACCAGTGTCAGCCACTGGAAATTATGTACAAACTAAAGCCAATGGAACAAAAGTTAATTATCTAGTACAGCTATTGTTATTATGTAGAGGAGCCAGCCCCTATTGATTAATGAGTCAGTGCTATGTTTGCTCACAGGAATATTAATATCTCATGCACAAGAGAAGTCATTAAAATGAGCAAGGAAGACCTTGACTTTAAACTTAAAGTGCACAGTGCTCTAGTTATCTGAATCATTTTGTCAGGTATAGCATCACAGTTATAAATTATTGAAACAAGTAGTTATTGTAAAGATAGTTCACATACCCTGTTTTAAATTAAACAAGTCGATACGCTTTTCCCATTATGTTCTTCACGGTTACAATTAGGAGACTTTAGGTGGACAGAAAAAGAGTTAGGAGATAGAATAAGACTCTGGTGTGTGAGCCTTTGCCTCACCTAACCCCTCACAGCATGAAAAAACTGAGTAATACTGGGTCCACGCTGAGCTGATGGAAAGGGTGGGTGTAGTGGACAAACGCAGGATAGGTCAAGAGAGATCTCTCATAAAGTGACTGCAGAGCTTTGCAGATGGCCTGATAATAATTAGCAAGTAGGTATTAAGGCATATTTCAGAATCCAGATTCAACACAGTCCCTCTTCTAATATTCCCAAAGCTACCAAATTATGCACTGGAAAACCTACATTATTATTTTATGAAAATGTATGTTATGGCATTAAGAATATGATAATACTTTACTGAAAATACAATTGCACCTGCTTTTACATCATACTAAGACCTCAAACTTAAAAAAGTCAACATAGATCTGCAAAGTTGAGGTCTAGGATTCATTTACACTAATGCTATGTTACATCACTCTGACAGAGTAGAGGGACATTTAGGTGGGAGTATATTTTGTTGTATCTAATCTACATGCTATTGTCAAGAGCAAGCCAAAAGCAGTCCTGGTATAAATGAGAATCAGGTGTCATGTAACCTAAGAGGAGAAGATATCAAAAGGGAATATAATTTAATTATATTAACATATAAGTACAATAGGAAAAAAAAGTTAAAACTTTAAGTTATTGAAAATATTAAGCAGTATTTTGGGGATTTTTTTGTAGGTATACTGTAGGTGATGCAAATTTGTTTCTGTAAAGATGCAGACGTAATTTTGAATTACACATTGTGCCTCCTCAAGCTTAACAGATTACTCCTGTAAATCATGGTGAGCATATGTCTTGGGGTCTTAATCCACCCAGAATTAAACTCCATTCTTGGTAAAATGGATCTGTGGGACCAAACCTGTATCTCTAGAGACCTGTGAGT